CGTTTTAGGCCTGAAGATTACACAAACCCCCAAAACATATTTTCTGAAATCCGAGATCCTAGAGAATAAAATAGCGGTAGTTCCAATTGTTTGTCACACAATATTATCACAAAGGTCTAGGAAACAAAAAAATTCAGTATAAAAATACACTTAAGTTAATTTTAAGGCACAAAAAGCAATAAATTATCCAGTTTTTTTTTTGTAAAGTAAAAGACGAGGTTGCAGCGAGTAAATAGATATCCAGCTTGTCAAACCTTAAATTTGTGTGCGCTTGTGAAACGGCAACAAATGTTAGTACCTTATATTTTCTATAGGCGACACTTTTAAAGCCCCTTATAGGTCATCAGTATAATGTTAGAGGAGGTCTGAGGCTAGAATTATCACTCTCATTCTGGCGTGCGCGGCGATATGTAGCATTTGTATTGCAGTCCATATTTTCATGTGTAGTGTAGGTGCCCAAGCATGTGCTTGTATGTTTGTGCGTGCGTACATATATGGGGGTGGGGGGCCTTAAAAAAAATTTGGGGGTGTTATATGCTTTGTAACTTCCATTTAAAAAAAAAATTGAATTAACATTTTTTTTAAATCACATATAGGACAAAAAGTCTGATTATTTTTGGTGACAGGTTCTCTTTGAGACATCCAGGGTCTAAAACAGCCTTTCTCAACCAGGGTGCCTGGAGGTTTCTTCAGGGGTGCCTTGCCAAAACTTGTAAACAAGCCAGCGGGTGGAACAAGCCAGCCTTTTAATTACAAAAATCCATAAGTTTTTATTATGCACCATTACGACCACCTAACCGCCGGCATCCTGACACCCAGTGACCTCATCTGTTGATAAGGAGGATGTCAGGTGCCTGTGCAGCATCCTAGTTTGACCCTTCCCTGCCTCTGCTAGGGTCACGTTCGCTCAGTGATGGAGAGAAACTGAGGGAGAAGAGAAACACTGGCATACTAGTCAGTACCAGTGTGCAAAAGTGTGATTTGCTTTGGAAGAATAAATCACCTCCAAAGTTGGGTTCTCTACATGTGTGGATGTTGCTGCGTTTTATATAAAACTAGTAGAATACTTTCACATTTTAGAATGGGGTGCCCTTTTAAAATTATGGACAGTCTAGAGCAGGGGTCTGCAACCTTTAAGACATAAAGAGCCACTTGGACCCGTTTCCGAAGGGAAAAAAAAGACTGGGAGCCGCAAAACCATTGCAACATTTATAACAAATCCGACACTGCATATATTGCAAAAAGCACTCTGGTCATGAAGGAGGTTTAAGGGCCCAGTAAGCAAAGGGTTAATCAGGGCCACAGTGTATCTTCATAATCACAATCATAGCCTTAGGTCAGTGGTGGGCAACCTTTTTTTTCAACTGAGCCAAATCTCGCCAAAACCACGATTGAAATTTATTTTGACAGCCACATTTTTAAAACTGAAAATAATACATCCCCCATATAGTAATTCATCCCCCATATAGTAATTCATCCCCCACATAGTAATTCATCCCCCACATAGTAATTCATCCCCCACATAGTAATTCATCCCCCACATAGTAATTCATCCCCCACATAGTAATTCATCCCCCCCCACATAGTAATTCATCCCCCACATAGTAATTCATCCCCCACATTAATTCATCCCCCACATAGTAATAATTCTTCCCCCATAGTAATTCCCCCATAGTAATTCATCCCCCCCATAGTAATTCATCCCCCACATAGTAATTCATCCCCCATAGTAATTCATCCCCCACATAGTAATTCATCCCCCACACAGTAATTCATCCCCCACATAGTAATTCATCCCCCATATTGTCTCAATTCACTTACCTTTGCTCCGCGCGTTCCTCTCGCTGTGTTCCCGCGCCGTTCTGGTCTTCAGGGCGGACTGAGAGAGGAGTTCGTCACTCTGCCCCGCCTACATCCTGGCTGCCCCACCTACATCCTGACAGCCAATGTTCCACGCTCCGCAGGCCGGATTTTTGAGGAGGGAGGGGAGCGGGCACCCGGCACACAGAAGAGCCGCATGTGGCTCGCGATCTGCGGCTTGCCGACCACCTGGTGGGCAGTGTGCTCCGGAGCCGCAGCAAAGATGAAAAAGAGCCGCATGCGGCTCTGGAGCCGCGGGTTGCCGACACCCGGTCTAGAGGCACCCTATTTTAGAATGGGACGCTTCAAGACTGTCCATAATTTTAAAGGATGCCTTGACTGAAAAAAGGTTGAGAAACACTGGTCTAAAAGACCCTGCATGTCTCCCCTGTACTACACATAATGTAGTACACATGAATCTGTCGAACGGGGACCTGGAAGTGACGTCACATCACCTCCGGGTCAGAAGAAGGGAAGGGGAGCTGAACGGATGTGTTCGCTCTCCTCCTCTATACCACATCCCGCAGCACCCGCCGAACCAGTCTCGGGCCCGCAGATGGGCGGGCAAGCGGAGCCCAGGACATATAGAGGGGGAGAGGCTGACACACTGGGCTTCTACTGGCCCTTTTAGCTGTCAGCGAGCTGGGCCCGCAGATGGGCAAGCAGAGCCCTGGAAACCTCACGGTGGGGGCGCGGAGAGGCTGGCACTGTGTGAAAGCAATCGGCGGGAGTGCTGCTGCCGATTGCTTTACCTAACAGGTGAGCCCTGCTGCTTGCCCACAGCAGGGCTAAAGGCCAAAAAAAAACTACCTGCCCGGTGCCCGGAACTACATGCATCGGGCGATAGGAATTACACATCCCTGGGTGCAGAATTCACACAGAAAAAGCTGCGAATTCTGCACCGCATCAGTGTGAACCCAGCCTGAAGGTTTCCTTTTTTAGAATAATAAGCTGTCGGGTTAGTTAAAACTGTAATATCAGAACAGATTTTAGGTTAATCACACATAGTTGAACTACTCAAATTCTTTTATTTCATGTGTTTTCTCATGGTTGCTGTGAAACTGTGTGAATGCATCAATGCAGTGCATGTTTTCTCAGCTTGCAGAGCTTGGATTCATAAAATGAATTTACTAAAAATGTAAATATTGCAGAATATAAAGCATTGTGCTACACAACTAAGCCCCATTTCATGCTGAATAAACTAAATTAATGTATCTTAAATAGAAAACTATCTTTAGATGGATTTTTTTTTTACTCCAAAAGCATTTTATTAAAATTTGATAATCAAAAAAATCTGATTTTAAATTAAATCCATTTCCTTTCTTTTTTTTTTTTTTTTTTTTTAACCACTTGCCTACTAGGCACTTATACCCCCTTCGTGCCCAGGCCAATTTTCAGCTTCCAGTGCTGTTGCGCATGAAAATTGCGCGGTCATGCAACACAGCACCCATATGATACTTGTAGCATTTTTTCACACAAATAGAGCTTTCTTTTGGTGGTATTTACTCACTGATGGGTGTTTTTATTTTTTGTGCTATACACAAAAAATTGCACAATTTTATAATCAAAACAAACTTTTTTTTTTTTTTTTTTTTTTTTTTTGCGAACCGGTAATTTTTCTCCTTCACTGATGTGCACTGATGAGGCTGCACTGATGTGCAACAATGATGGGCATTGATGTGCACTGGTGGGTGGCACTGATCATCAGGGCACTGATCATCCGCGCCGATCCGTCCTCTGACGATTGCCGGTTACCGGCAGTACTTTCCTCACGCAGTGACAGCGTGAGGACAGTGCAGCCCATAATCAGCAACTGCATTTACCGGTGATCTACTGTGTCATTGGACATGGCTGATCACGTGGTAAAAGGCTGCTGTGATTGGCCTTTTACCACATCACGTGATGCATAGGACACAGTGATCACGGAGATTGCCGGGACGTGCGGGAGGGCACGTTCTGGAAGGACGCCATATGCCGCCCTTCCAGAACTGGCCGGCTGCAGTGAAGCCATCATTTGGCTATCTGCGGTCGGCAATTTGTTAATCATTTTTTTTTTTTTTAATTTTTTTTTTTTTGGGGGGGGGGTTTAAATCCACCCTGAGACTAACACATTGTCAAACTATGCTGTCATGACATTAGGAAAAAAGCATTCTGAAGAATAACCGTAGTATCCTAAAATACAGGGGAGGGGGTAGGAGAAAGGGCGAATGATCTATTGCTAATGTAATATCCAAGAGATACCATCATTTTACCAGTGGCAATGGCAATTAACTACCACTTGTCTGAAAGATCGTTGGAGTAGACATGGCATAGTGTTTAGAATATAAGATTGTTGGTTTGAGTTCAAAACTACCGCTTTATATTTAGAGTGTCAGTAGATTCTCTGGCCAAATGTGTATGTTTTTCCAGAAGACTTTAATCGTCTACCTTGCGTAACCATTAGAGTAAGAAGGGAAGCAATCATTGGCCCCCAATAAAGTGGGATCAAGCCTTTAATAAGTGTGGGGTTATTGACCTCTTATATCGGCCTTTTGGTATTGCAGAGCCATGAAATGTTAACCGAGGGTCTAGCTTGAGAACTTCACCCTGTATTGCAGAGATCGTTTCAGTGATAGCCTGCCAGAACATGCGGACCATGGGACAAGACCACGACGTTCTCTCCAACACGGGCGAGCTGGCAGGATACATTGGCTGGAGTTTAAAATCTGTTTAGCCTCTAGGGTCCAAACAGGGTTTTTCTTCGATCCATGATTGCAAGCTGGATTTACCAAACCATTTCTCAAGCCTGATCTCTTGAGGCAGAGGATGTGGTTGTACTGGGAGGGGGGGGGGGGGTCATAGCTATGTAGAAGTAGTTATGGTGGCTTTACAGCACCCTCAAATCAAGGTTTGGCTTTTCTTTATATAGTTGTCTTGTGCTTGTTTTAACCCCCTTGATTGGTATAACATAGGACACTTTTCTTGTAGGTCAAAGGGTTGACTACCTTTTACCCTTTGCATAACATGGCTGAATGTATAACACAAGAGCACTGAAAGAAAGTGATACTATTTAAGGCTGAGGTGGGTTGCAACACTGGGCACCATTCAACCTCTGAGGAAAACATGCATTTTTCTGTGAATTTTTTTTTCTTTTTCTTTAGCAAAAATGTACCCTTTAAGATTGTTCGTTCTTCCAATGGTGATGCCTGGGTAGAAGCACATGGGAAGCTATATTCTCCAAGTCAGATTGGTGCATTCGTGCTTATGAAGATGAAGGAGACTGCAGGTTTGGAAAGATGTGTTTTTTTTTTTTTTGTGTTTTTTTTTTTGTTCCAATTTACACACTGTGAGGGAGTTTTATTAAAGCTGGTTCACTCAGAATCTGGTGCACCTCTGCATGGTATCCAGTCAGCTTCTAACCCAAGCTTGGTCAATTAGGCTTTAGCAATAAAACCTGCAAGCTGATTGCTTTCCATTCAGAAGTGCACGAGATTCTGAGTGCACCAGCTTTAGTAAATAACCCTTGTATGTCTTTTTTATGTGAACCCAACTAGAGTAAAGTTTTGTTTACCTGCACAGACCTCCAGATGCATTCCTGGGTGTAACATCGGAGTGGATCTGATCCATCGATCATAACACAGACTGCATCGGATCCATCCATTGGATCTGTACAAATGTACCCTCCGGGATGCGCTTGGAGATCTGTGCAGCCAGCTACCTCTGATTTGAACAGACTACCTGCATGTGGCTGGACAGAACACCTGTGCATCCAGCGTGGGTGAAGACGGCCCTTCACATGGGTGTATGGGTTTGTATGCCCATGTGAATAGGGCTTAAACAAAGTTACAGTGGGAAAAATAATTATTTGATCCCCTGTAGATTTTGTAGGTGTGCCCACTTACAAAGAAATCATAGGTGTATTTTAAATGATCGAGACAGAATGTCAACCAAAAATCCAGAAAAACACAATACAGATTTTACTCGCTGAACTGCAACTCTATTTATACCATAAGTATTTGATCCCCAAGCAAAACATGACTTGGCTTGCACACATCTCCAGGAGTGATTTTGGTCTACTCTTTACAGATCTTCTCTAAATCCTTAAGGTTTCTTGGCTGTCGCTTGGCAGCTCGAAGTTTCAGCTTCCGCCATTATTATTTTCTATAGGGTTAATCTCTGGAGACTGGCTAGGCCACTCCATGACCTTAATGTTCTTCTTCCTGAGCCACTCCTTTGTTGCCTTGGCTGTATGTTTTGGGTCATTTTCATGCTGAAAGACCCATCTTGAGTGTTCTGGTTGAGAGAAGAGGGTTCTGATCTAAGATTTTACAATGCATGACCCCATCCATTGGCCCCTTTTTAATGTGGCAAAGTCAGCCTGTACCTTTTTAGCAGAGAAAAACCGCCCCAAAGCATAATGTTTCCCCCTCCCGGCTTGACAGTAGGAATGGTGTTCTTAGGGTCATGGTCAGCATTTTTCTTCCTCCAAACACATGATGAGTCGAGTTATGCCAAAGAGCTCAATTTTAGTCTCATCTTACCAGAGCGCTTTTCTCCCAATCCTCTGAATCATTTAGATGTTCATTGGCAAACTTCAGACAGGCCTGTACATGTGCCTTCTTGAGGAGTGGGACCTTGCGGGCACGGCAGGATTTCAGTCCATGGCGGCGTATTGTGTTACCAGTGGTTTGTTTGGTGACTGTGTTCCCAACTGCCTTGAGATCATTCACAAGCTTCCCCCATGTAATTCTGGGCTGATACCTCAGTTTCCTCATGATCACCCTTACCCCATGAGGCGAAATCTTGCATGGAGCTCCAGACTGAAGGCTATTGATTTTGATTTTTTTTTTTTTTTTGTATTTCTTCCATTTGTGAATAATCGCTCCAACAGTTTTCTCCTGCTCATTAAGCTTCTTGCTGATGGCCTTGTAGCCCTTTTACAGGTCTACAATCTCGTCCCTGACATCCTTTGACAGCTTTGTGTCTTTTATACATGTGACGAGTTGCCGTTCGGAGCACCTTCTTAAATTGACAGGACTAATCTGTGAACCACATGAGCACATAAGCAGTCTGTGGGAGCCAGAATTATTGTTGGTTGGTAGGGGTTCAAGTACCTATTTTACGAACTAAACTGCAACTCAATTTATAACCTTTTTGTATTTTTTTTTGTTTTGTTTGTTTTTTTCCGGATTTTTGGTTGATATTCTCTCATTTAAAAGACACCTATGATAAAAATTGCAGACCCTTAATTTCTTTGTAAGTGGGAAAACTTAGAAAATCTGCAAGGGAACAAATAATTTTCCCCACTGTATATTGAATGTGTTTGCATTTTTGAAACTTCTTGCTTGTGCATGGGGGGGGGGGAGTGGAGGGTCAGGTGGAAACAAGTCTTCAGATTTTCCAGTGTTAACAGAAGGGTGTTTTTTTGTGTTTTCTTCCCCCTTACCACCCTAGAAAATTTTTGGGCCATGCTGCGCAAAGAATGCTGTAATCACTGTGCCTGCATATTTCAATGACTCCCAAAGACAGGTAAGATCATCTGTACTGATATCAATTTGAAAATATGGTTCTATTGGTTTCTGCAAGCTTAGTGCTGGGAACCTCTGTCTAGCTTCAGCAGGCAAACTGAAATAAGTATTTTACTTTTATAATGTGATATTATTTTGATATAATGTATTAAGTGGAAATATGTAGTTTTGGCTTTTTAGCTTCCAAGAACCCGTCAATACTTTTTTATTTTCAAATTACCTTAGTCTTGCAATAGGTGTATAAAAACTCTATTAACCAGTTCTCGCTGACCTAGTGCATATATGCGACCTCTTGGCGAATGGGCTTTAGCACCAAGCGGCTGCATACATGCTTCTGTTGGTAAACACCTCACTGTACTGAGAGCATGCATGCTCCCAGCACAGTAACGAACAGTTACCAGAAAGCTCCCGATGCATACTTGCAATCTGGAGCTTTCCGATCATGTGACAGCCAGTCACAGTGGTCACATGATCAGAATGCCCAACCCCCCTGTCATTTAAAGCCACTTAAAGGGCTGAGGGGGACAGAAGGAAGGGGTTAACATTTCCGCATCACACCTTCATTTAGGGATGTGTTCCCTTGGTAAGCAGCTTCAGGGATTTTACTTCTCCTTCATATCATCCTGATTTTTACTGTCTCACCTGGGTGAAAGACCTTCAAATGAAATGATTTGTCATTCACCAATATACTTCAGATGAGGTTCTGCATTACCAGCTTTTATCTTCCAATTGCTATGGTGTTTTTTTTTTTTTTTTGTTTTTTTTTGTTATGCAGTCTTTAAACATGCGTTGTGTAATACTGTAATCTTTTTAAAACTCTCTAAATGTTCATATTTTACTATTCTAGGCAACAAAAGATGCTGGGCAGATTGCAGGATTGAACGTTTTAAGAGTAATTAATGAACCAACTGCTGCGGCTCTTGCTTATGGTCTAGATAAGTCGGATGATAAAATGTAAGGATTTTTGTTTTATTTAGTATTTCTGTGCTTTGACAGTTTACATAAACTATACTTCATTTTGGACAATTTAGCCAAAAAACACGTAAATGTGTGTTTCAGCTGCGATAACATGATTACATGTTCTAATTTATGTACAGTAGGGTGGAAAAAAAACGTATATTTTACTTGTTTTCTGAAACTGCAAAACCTAGCCTCTTCCTGCCCGGCCTATGGCCGAATGGCGGCCGGCAAAAACACTTACCTTTCTGGGTGGACACCATATGGCGTCCTTTTCGGGCATGCGCCATTTGCACGCCTGCAGAGCCGCGCAGCAGCGCGATCTGTCACTGGCCGTGTACCTCTGACACGGCCGATGACAGATCTGAGTACCGGCCCCGTTGCCGGTACCTTGTGACCTGCTGTGACCAATCACAGCAGGTCACATGACAG